ACCCATGGTCTAATCTAACAGACTATTTCTGGGGATTCAGAGAACTGCGGTGTAGACAGCACTTTCTCCCTGGGTCTAGTCTCCAAAGAATCCAGAGTACTGGGAGTACTGGAACCCCTGGCTTCTGGACCTCTTATTACAGCCTGGGGATAAGGAACAGAAGATTTTTACACTGGCCTTTGGCATCTGATATGCATGTTTTTGGAGACCACCTTATTATTTTGATTGTCCATACTTTCAATGCATTTAATATTGTGTTTTTGTACTGCTGTGGCCTGCACTTGGGACCTTGTGTTGGATGGTGGGTAAGAAACCTAAATAACAATAATGACAGTTATAACAACTGAATCAGCAGTTTTTACATATTATTAAACCTGTAGCAATCAAAAATAATACATAGGTAAAAGGTTTATTTCAGTTTCCCCCAAACTTTGGCCTCTAGCTGTTTTTTAGACTACAATTTCCATCATCCCTGACCACTGGTCCTGCTAGCTAGGGATGATGGGAGTTGTAGACCAGCAGAACATCCAAGTTTGGGAAACACTGATCTATATTATATCTGCACTGTCACACTATAGTTCACGGGGCTACCAACAGATGATGGTAGCTTTGTGAAGCACAGCATGCTGACAGTTGTAAGTCTGCTTCAGCCTGGAACTGGGTCTGGAGAATGCTGTCTACTTCTGAATGGGACACAGCTGATGGCAGTCTTGGGAAATTCCATCCAGCTAGTTGCCTGCTCACAAAAACAAGCCTGTAAGAAAGAAGCCCTCCATCCCTGCTTTAATAGAACCTCTTCCGTTTTTCTGCTGCCCCATGTGTGAAATATAAAGGTTAATTAACTCCTAGCACCAGGTGTTGTCTTCCACATGAAGTTCCAGATTCAATGCAACAATTTAGAACAAGTGTTTTAACAAACAATCACTCATATGTACAGCATCCATCACTTAACCTTCCCTAATTAAACAAGTTAATTAACAAGTGTCTTCTTAAGATGCTATTCATCTTAAAAGATACAGCCCCAGAGATCTGCTGAAGTAGGAGGGCTGCAAAATAGGAGAGAGGTTGGAGCATGGAAATGGGGTGGTCTCTCTGCAAAGAGGAGTTGAAAAAATGAGAGAGGAGGGAGGAAAAATGGAGTAGTGGCGAATATGTGTGTGTGTGTGTGTGTGTGTGTGTGTGCAAAAGGGGCTACAGAATAGGAGAAAGGGAGGCATGGAAATGGGGGTGGGGCAAGGGGTAGTTGAGGACGAGGAGGAAGGAGGAATAAAGGGGGGTGAAGTGGAGGTATGAAAGGAGCTGCATAATATGCTTGATTTCTCCCTCTCTGGTTGCCCAGGAATATAATGTTGGGGCATCACAAATTGTTTCCTGTGTGAAATCCCTCATCAGGGTGTGCTGAGTAAACCATCAATACTCCAAACATTTGATTCCCCAGTCTTCTTCCTATTATATTTTCCTTTGATCTACTTGCCCTGAAGACAATAATCAACACTGCTGTGTTACCCATCTGGATCATTATTACCCTTGAAATGGTTCATTGTGACAAAGTTTGAAAATCTTGCTCAGCAGGAAAATGTTGCGAAAGATGCTATTTAATTAGAAATGTTGGCACAAGGATAATTAAGGAAAACCAAGATTTCTGTTTAAATGCATTAGTTATATTAGTACTAATTTAGGTCTGGATGGCTGGTAAACAAATCCATAACATGAATTAAAGTCACAGAACTTAAAAGTGTTCATGATTTAATTAAAAACGGGCTCAGGCTTCATTTAATTCCTGCATGCTAGCAGCCATTTTTGCTACGACGTGCAATGATTTAAGGACCCCCCTCTGCCACTATACTATCATTCTATGTTGGTCTCACTTTAAAGCAATTGAAATGATGGCTTTAGAGATTAATCTGCATTTTACGTGCACTGGTAGATTACTGTAAAGAAACAGGAGGAAGTTAATTGCGCTGAGTATTGACTGAAAACGATGGAAATAGGTGCCACCTAGTGCTTTGTTTGGAGTACTGAAGTGAGCTACTTTATTTTCTCATTTTATTAAAAACTATATTAGAGGAATGAGTGGTTTTTTAAGATTACAAAATCTTCCCTTTTGCATTTATGGAGATGATTGCATTTTGATTATTGCAGCTTAACTACCATTGTGATACCAGCATACTGTAGTGAGGGATTGAAATGTTGTAGCACCCTGCTTGTGGTTAACGCTTAGCTGGAATGAAATATTCAACGCAGCAATAGAGAAATTAAAATAATAATTTATTTGTCAGACAAATAAATGAGAGGCACAGTGGTATATGGTTACCAAGCTCTGGCCTGGCCTCCTGCCATTATGGCCAGCACTTATATTCCCTTAATCCAGCCCCCTTTGCTCCTCCTTTGGCTGCCTCTGTCCAATCAGCCTGGTTGAATTTCCTATTGGCTGATTGGTATAACCAATCCTAAAAGATACACCCATATCCTCCTGTCCTTATATGGAACACAAAGAGCTATATATTGTTACATCTATAAATGACAAATAAGTAGTAATATATCTTACATGTGTCTCAACAAGGAATCTTAATTACCAGCTCACCTCTTGCCCTCCTTGCCCTATGGTTAATAATTTTAAATTTTTATCTTGAACAGATGTCAGAGACCTTGGGTTCATATTCTCATGCATCATCAATGAAATATCTCCTTTTGGAGGTCTTTAAACAAAGGCCTGACAACCATTTGTCATGAGTGCTCGATTGGCGTCTCCTGTCTGGCAGGGGGCTAGGCTGGTGGCTGACTTAATTTCAGGATAAATACAACTCTTATAACTATATGAAATAAGAATCTAGCATTTCTTAAATCCTTTGCATAATTACATTTAAGCCAATATATTTCATACATTATCATAGATAGCTTTTTAGAAGGATAAACTTCCTCAAAGTGAAAGGAAGGAACAGTTTACAGCCTCAAAATAAAATAGGGAAAAAAAGCCTCTTCCCCTGTTTACACTCCCCCCTTCTCCAGCCAGTTGCTTTGTTTTCCATGTGCTCTTGGCCTTTTGTCCTGTGGCTCAAGTTTAACGGTTTTATTTTACTATTTACCAACTCTTAATTATGTTGGGTCTGTGTAACCTTGGTCTTCAGCCTGTAATTCCCTTTTTACGACTTTGAGAATTGTTTTCTGCTATAAATCAAGGGGCCCCTTGTCTAGGAGGAAAACATTGCCAAGGTTCTCTAAACAGCTGGTCTTCTTGCCTGGCATGAAACATTTGAAAATCTAAGCCCATTTAATTTAGGAACCTGATCAAGATATAAGCCAATATATGCCTTGATTAAAAATGCAGTCTATATTCAGATGCCACAATGTCACCCGCAAAGACCTTGGTTCCCATGAGCAGACTTTTTCTTCTTCTTTTAAAGCAAATCTCTAGCCCTCCCAGAAAAAAAAAAATGTGCAGGTACCCCTCCAAGTGATTTCTGTGAAATGAGCCTGTTTGCCTACTGCTGCCTGTCAGTGTCTTGTGCTAATGTACGAAGTCAGGGCTGTGATAGTTAAATGAATAGTTTGGACGCCAGGAAATAGGAATCCCTAGAATCCCAAAGTACTGCTGATTTCCCTTCCCATCTAGTGCACTTTTCTGCTTCTGTCTTATTTTCTAATCATTGGAATATTTGTAGCTTGCCCTTCCTTTTCCCTAGCGACCAGAAAGCACATTTCCTGTGGTGGTTCATCTGAGATCAGGTAGTCCCTAGATGTTATTCTGCAAAGATTACTCCGTAATAAGTGTGGGTGGGTGGTAACCCCCACCCCCACCCCAAGAGGCAAATGTAAAAACTCTGCAGAGGTAGAATCTAAAGATCAGGCACTTAAGAATTCAATTTTACTGTATATATAACTCCACTATTCCCTCCAGAATGTTGCACTCCATCATTTAATGCTTTATCCACTATACAAAGATTAGGATGAAATATGCAACAGATACTCAGAGGGCCTTCATCGGAACAGTTGCCTGGCAACTGCCAATGACTTGCCTCCATCATGGGATGAGGAAGGTACATCTTAACAACAACTTCCCTGGCCTCAGATGTCCTCAGAGTTGACTTCCTACCTGGTGATGACAGGGAAGACCAAGAATTGCAAGAATTAACCATATACCATGCTATTTCTGATTATATTGGAAATCATTTTGAATATGATTTGCATCATGCAATTTTTTGTGAGCTGCTTTGAGTGGGCTATAGAACAGAGCGTAAGCATTCTAAATGAATAAAATGTAAGAAATAGATAATTTCTTTTATTTTGCCTAAATATATACAAATAAATTTTTATGCATGTGTGTGTGCACGCACACATGCAGGCTACAATGGTTAAGTGGGGTGACCGTAGAAAGAGTTTCTTTATAAATAGTGATTGAGAAGTATATGCCCCGACCCCACTGCAAATTTTTATTTTTTGCTTCTTGGTCACCTTACAATGTAACTTGGCTAACTTGTATGAGTAATCTTGAACCTCTGCTCTGTGACCAGTGCACATTTTATCTGTTTATGGCATACTATTGACTTGATTGTTTGGACTGATCCATAAGAAACAGGTGCACGCAGCAGTGCTTCCTTCACCCCAAACTTTGCCTCTTACTGTGAGCAATGGAGCAGGTGTGGCAAGTGACGTGAAACCCATATTACACCTACACAACCCCCAGCTTACCAGTCCCTTAACGCACCCTATGGAAAAGCAGCACAAGAGGGGAAAATAAAATAAAAAATGTTCCACCTGCTGAATTTCTGCCTACTGCGCATCTACTAAAGACACACGAACCATTATAGAGGAAGAATCAAAGTGCAACCCTAGTTATATAGGGTGCCTGCAGCCTAATGCACATTCACCTAAAAGTACCTAAAAACTATGGAGGATCTTTATGTATGCAACTATGGTGGCTAGAATTTTAGTAGCAAAAAACTGGAAATGTGACTCAATTCTTACAAAGCTTGACTGGCAGGTGAAGCAGACAGAATACTTGGAACTTGCAAAAATGACTGGGAGAATAAGAGGAAACTCAAACCAGAAAGTGTGTAAAGAATGGATAACATTTAAAGAATATCTAAAACAATACAGTATTGTGAAAGTGCAAATCTCCTGACAGGTCTAGATTGAATCTTGAATATTAAGGAAAACTATAAATGTAGAAAATTTTCTGGATATGTAACAGATATAACAGGAAATGCGTAAAGGTTAAGAATATGTAGAAAGCACAATGAGGTGAATTGGAAGTCAAAAGTGTGTGTGATGTTAGACGATGTGTTGTTAGTTAATGTTTAGTTGTCATTGAAGTTATTGTTTTTGTTTGTGTTATATGTAAATTGTTTTGCAATAAAGTTAAAAAACAACAACTATGGAGGATTTGGCTATGAAGCAATCTTAAAATGTAATTATTATGAAGACAAGGAAAATAAAACACAACCGAACCCCCACCCTTTCTTCTGGTTACTTCAAACTCAGGGGTACAGTATTTGGGGGATGAGGAAAGGCTGGACATAAACGAAAGCTTCTTTTTATAGCCTTAAAATGCGACATCTTCGTTAAAGCAGCCCTTTGTGACGGGAGGGAGTCCGCGAAGACACTGAAGCGGGCTTTGCAACGGCTGGAGTTGGATGGAAAGGGGCGAGGCCGCCGCCCCGGGCTTTCCTGGCAAGGCTGGGCCGGGCGGAGCGTTAGGCCTGCGGTCGCCATGGCGACGGGAGCGCGTGGTGGAGGCCGCCGAGCAGCATGTACGACCGCGCTCCCCGCGCCTTGACCTTGACCGTCGGCGGCACCGCGTCCCACCTGGGGCCGGGCTGCTACGAGTTGCCTCCCGACACCAAACGGCTCCAAGGTGAGGCGAGGCGAGCGGGGAGGGGAGAAGCGCGGGCGGGCTGGGGGCCAAAGCCCGCTCCGCTCCGGGCTTCCCTCAGGCCAAACTTGGCTTGTTTACCATTGGAGCTGGAGCGCGAAGCGTCTGCGGGGCGCCCGGTTCATTCATTCATATTTGTTTCTTGAGATTTATACGCCGCTTGGTTGCAACAGCAGCAACCCACGTCAAAGCGGTTTACCAAAAGGATAAACTGGGGTGGGTTTATGTGTGGGGATGGGAGTTTGGCAGGGCAGGCTCACTTAGCCCGACCCAGAACTTTTCTACTTGGAAATAAATCCTGTTATTGAGCCCAGTGGGTCTCAGTAAGGCTGCACTCTGAATTGGGTGGAGCATATTTCTCAAGGAAGACTACAGCCTTTTTCAGTTATATTTTTTTATAATCGCTACCTGTGTTTCATTAATTGCTCTGCTCCACTTAATTGAGCAATCAATGCACACGATCTTTTTTTAAAAAAAATATTTTTTTTATTAGGAATTTAACAGAACATATTATCTTACAACATATCCTTAATTCCCCCATTTCCCCTCGCCCATAAAACAAACCCCCCTCCCCCAACTTCCCTCAGTTCCCATCTCTGGTTTCTCTGTAAATGCTATTATCTGCATGTTACAAAATTGTATAAATCCTTAATTTATCTAACTGATTATTATCAATAAAAAGTTTGTGTTTATTCAAAACCTGCCAAGGAGTCCAGTTCACTTTGTTGCTTCTTTAAATACTTTAAAGATGAATGGGAACCCTTTACAAAGTCACAGTTATCCTTGTCCTGTAGTTTATGTGTCAATTTTGCCAATTCTGCATAGTCCATCAGTTTCTCTTGCCATAATTCTTTAGTCAGGGTTTCTTCATTCTTCCATCTTTGTGCTATTAAGACTCTCGGCGCCGTTGTTGCATACATGAAGATGTTTTTCAACTTCCTTGGCGGGTCTTTTCCTACAATCCCTAACAGAAATGCTTCAGGTTTCTTAACAAATGTTAGATGTAACATTTTCTTCAATTCATTGTATATCATTTCCCAAATTTTTTAAATTTCATTACAATCCCACCACATATGATAAAATGTCCCCTCCTTTTCCTTGCACTTCCAACACATGTTTGAGCTAGTTTTGTACATTTCCCTTAACTGCACTGGTGTCGTATACCATCTATACATGATGCATACAATCTTGTTGCTTTTCTAAAGCAAATATCCTGTTTTGCGTTCTGAAAAATTTCCCCAAATAAACAGGAGATTTAAATAACAACAACAACAACAACAACAATATAGACAGGCATTCCCCACATTCCATATCGTCATTTACTTCCACTTAGGGGATTCCAGAATGTTTAAACTTTTCAGAAGTGGCATTTATTTAGAAGTTAAACACTTGAGTTAAATCAAAGGTCACACCCGCACCATACGTTTAAAACAGATTTATACTGCTTTAACAGTCATTACTTTTCAAAAGACTCCTGGAAATTGTAGTTTCTTAAGGCTTCTGGGAGTTATAGCTGTTAGGGGTGAATAATGGCAGTTCCCTGATTCTCTGGGATGACAGCTAAGGTGGTAAAAATGAGCTTTAAATGTATAGCAGTGTGCATGGGACCAAAGTTATTCCCAGGTTTTTACAACGTGGCATTTGGCATTCTTTCCTAGTCTGAAAGGTATGACACTTGTACAGAAATTATTCTTGGCACACTGCTCTGGTGAACAAATGTTCTAAAATGGGAGTGGGGGATAAATCCCCACAACAGGGATCACTCAAGCTTTTAAGAGGAACTTAAAAGGCAGAAATGATGTCCAGGGGGAATTTCAGAAATGTAGCGCTTTGTCCTGGATCTTAGGAAAGTCAATTGAAAAACTGCACTTGTTTGGCGTTTTTGTTTTAAAAAAGCTCAACAATTTTGGGGTCTTCCTTAAAAAAGCAATGTTGTTGTTTAGTCGTGTCCGACTCTTCATAACCCCATGGACCAGAGCACGCCAGGCACTCCTGTCTTCCACTGCCTCCCGCAGTTTGGTCAAACTCATGCTGGTAGCTTCGAGAACACTATCCAACCATCTCGTACTCTGTCGTCCCCTTCTCCTTGTGCCCTCCATCTTTCCCAACATCAGGGTCTTTTCCAGGGAGTCTTCTCTTCTCATGAGGTGGCCAAAGTATTGGAGTCTCAGCTTCAGGATCTGTCCTTCCAGTGAGCACTCAGGGCTGATTTCCTTCAGAATGGATAGTTTTGATGTTCTCGCAGTCCATGGGACTCTCAAGAGTCTCCTCCAGCACCATAATTCAAAAGCATCAATTCTTCGGCGATCAGCCTTCTTTATGGTCCAGCTCTCACTTCCATACATCACTACTGGGAAAACCATAGCTTTAACTGTAGGGACCTTTGTTGGCAAGGTGTTGTCTCTGCTTTTTAAGATGCTGTCTAGGTTTGCCATCGCCTTTCTCCCAAGAAGCAGGCGTCTTTTAATTTCATGGCTGCTGTCACCATCTGCAGTGATCATGGAGCCCAAGAAAGTAAAATCTCTCACTGCCTCCATTTCTTCCCCTTCTATTTGCCACGAAGTGATATAAAAGCACTATGGCAACCCTATTACGTGCCTCAGGTTCAAAAGAGGTTTTGAGGAACAACTGCAAGACAAAACAATATATGCAATAACAGGGACAAATACAGCAAAGCCTCAAATATCATTTGAGCCACAGCTTCTCAGGTTGTCCTAATGCAATTTACTCAGTCTATGAGGATATGAAAAATTTTTATCCACAAGAATTCTATTCAAACCGCTCAGATGCCGATGGTGTTTAAATAAGGCATATGAAAATCCAGTGTCTCTGCTATTATTATTGGAATGTAAGAACTCTGCACTTGTACAACTCCCAACTCTATAGAGGAGAGCAATGATGTAGCCCATACTAAGAAAAGAAAAGAAAAGAAAAGTCAACAGCTGCAGTTTATTACAGTACTGTTGGTTCGGTACATTATAAATAAAAGTGCTTCAGGCATATTGTGCATGGTTACATGAGCAGAAAAAGAAACTCTCATTTGAAAGACAACTTGTGTGCTTGGCAGGCAACTGGGCATTGGATCTCAGCAGTCCAATTTAAAAGCAGTCTCTTCTTAGCATTTATTTTTCCAACCCAGGTTTTCTGTCTTCATTATTTAGGATGAGAAAGATTTCTGTACTTGATGCATTCTCAGTGTGAGATAATGGTTAAGGGCTTGATTCCTCAATGCTTGCCACAGCTATCATTTACCCATATGTGGCATTTGTATTTTTTTTGAACCAGAGCACAACGGCAGGCTTTTAAACACACTTTATCCCAGTGGCACACAAATGGAAGTATATCAACCTCCTCATATATTTTATCATTATTTATTTCTTTTATTCTAACATGATTACATGAATTGGATACCAACCATGGCATTAATCAGAATAATACTGTTCCAACTATTACCCATTCTTTTAGCTGTTAATTCAGAAAATGTGTGAGGGGAAGTCATCAATAGTTTCTCGTAATGAAAGTGCAGGATAAAGGTCCTATCATGCAATGGACCACACTAACTCTCATGTAAGCCGAGTGCATTTTCTTCTTCATTGGTGTTGTCATATGCAGCAGAACATGCTAACTTTTCACCTTAGTTCAGAAGGCCCCAACAAATCTAATTCTAGATTTAGCAAATAATGCTGATGTTTATCAATTGTTTATATTGCAAGTATACAGTTTAGAGAGACTAATGGAAATGAAAGATTTTATTTCTGGTCAGCCCTGTTGAAAGTCTAGGCAGATGCGGTATTTACTTGTGTTATTTTAAAACTCATTTGAACATGCTTATTTAACCAAAGTTTCCTTTGCTACATTAAATGCTGCTATTAAAAATGTCTCTCAGTTCAAATGTGGCATGCTGGGGAGGGAGGAGTGCAGCTGTTTGAGAACAAAGTCAAAACCCGATTGGTTGAGCAGGAGTTGTACACATGTGTGTACATAGGCACACATAGTAAATAAAGGGAGTTGCATTGTCATATCCGTTGACATATTTTGAAAAACGAGATCTAACAACTTTTCATCGCTGAATGATGACCTGAAGCAAATTCTAACAAATTCAAATTTCCTCCCCCCCCCCCCAGTTGGCTATGCTCCATTTCTTTCTTTCGCAAGTCGTGGCCATGGAAGTATTTATCGGAATGCTGAGAGCGATGTTCCAGGACCGGGATCCTATGAGATCGAGAAAACACAGGTAAAATTATACTGGTTGAATAAATTTGTTATGAAAGGTGGAGTTTGCAGTTCTAGAAGCAGTAGGTACCGTATTTTTCTCTCTATTACACGCAGATTTTTTCTCCTAAAAAGGAAGGGGAAATGTCTGTGCGTGTTATGGAGCGAATGTGGGGGGGGGGTCCCTGGAGCCGATTAGGGGAGCGCAGGAACAAAAATCAGCAAAAATCAATCGTGCGTTGTGTAGGAGAGGGAAACCTGAAAAGAGGAAGTGGTTGCTTTCCTGCATTCTGCCTCAGGGTCTTACTGCCCACCCTCCTCTGTTTCGTTGCTGTGTTTGCTGAAACGGAACAAAGAGCAGGCAAATCCCCTCCCCTCCAGGCAAGCAGAGGGGAAAGCAGAGGTCTTTCCTTCTACCGGTAATTCCTCTCCGTGCTCCTCGCAGGCAGCCAGAAAACATGCAGGAGGAGAGAGAGAGCTGGCTTCCGTTTGGGGAAACTTTTGCCTTTCTTTCTTTCCTCCCTCTCCTGCTTTCTTAGCCAGCTGCTTCTCTGCACACCGCTCTCTTGTCCCTTCTGTGTTTTTCCTTCACTCCCCACTTAAAATGTAGTTACAAAGCATGGATCCACATGGATCCTCAGGATCTTTGCATTGGGCCACCCCAAATTCACCATCAGATCACATAGCAGCCTGCCCCCCAAAATCACACACCCACTGTTGCCTGGGGCTGCAATGGTGCAAAAACGTGGTTAAAAAGCATGGATCCACATGATCCTCAGGATCTTTGCATTGGGCCACCCCAAATTCACCATCAGATCACATAGCAGCCTGCCCCCCAAAATCACACACCCACTGTTGCCTGGGGCTGCAATGGTGCAAAAATGTGGTTAAAAAGCATGGATCCACATGGATCCTCAGGATCTTTGCATTGGGCCACCCCAAATTCACCATCAGATCACATAGCAGCCTGCCCCCCAAAAATCACACACCCACTGTTGCCTGGGGCTGCAATGGTGCAAAAATGTGGTTAAAAAGCATGGATCCACATGGATCCTCAGGATCTTTGCATTGGGCCACCCCAAATTCACCATCAGATCACATAGCAGCCTGCCCCCCCAAAATCACACACCCACTGTTGCCTGGGGCTGCAATGGTGCAAAAACGTGGTTAAAAAGCATGGATCCACATGGATCCTCAGGATCTTTGCATTGGGCCACCCCAAATTCACCATCAGATCACATAGCAGCCTGCCCCCCAAAAATCACACACCCACTGTTGCCTGGGGCTGCAATGGTGCAAAAATGTGGTTAAAAAGCATGGATCCACATGGATCCTCAGGATCTTTGCATTGGGCCACCCCAAATTCACCATCAGATCACATAGCAGCCTGCCCCCCCAAAATCACACACCCACTGTTGCCTGGGGCTGCAATGGTGCAAAAACGTGGTTAAAAAGCATGGATCCACATGGATCCTCAGGATCTTTGCATTGGGCCACCCCAAATTCACCATCAGATCACATAGCAGCCTGCCCCCCAAAAATCACACACCCACTGTTGCCTGGGGCTGCAATGGTGCAAAAACGTGGTTAAAAAGCATGGATCCACATGGATCCTCAGGATCTTTGCATTGGGCCACCCCAAATTCACCATCAGATCACATAGCAGCCTGCCCCCCCAAAAATCACACACCCACTGTTGCCTGGGGCTGCAATGGTGCAAAAATGTGGTTAAAAAGCATGGATCCACATGGATCCTCAGGATCTTTGCATTGGGCCACCCCAAATTCACCATCAGATCACATAGCAGCCTGCCCCCCCAAAATCACACACCCACTGTTGCCTGGGGCTGCAATGGTGCAAAAACGTGGTTAAAAAGCATGGATCCACATGGATCCTCACCTCAGGATCTTTGCATTGGGCCACCCCAAATTCACCATCAGATCACATAGCAGCCTGCCCCCCAAAATCACACACCCACTGTTGCCTGGGGCTGCAATGGTGCAAAAATGTGGTTAAAAAGCATGGATCCACATGGATCCTCAGGATCTTTGCATTGGGCCACCCCAAATTCACCATCAGATCACATAGCAGCCTGCCCCCCAAAATCACACACCCACTGTTGCCTGGGGCTGCAATGGTGCAAAAACGTGGTTAAAAAAGCATGGATCCACATGGATCCTCAGGATCTTTGCATTGGGCCACCCCAAATTCACCATCAGATCACATAGCAGCCTGCCCCCAAAAATCACACACCCACTGTTGCCTGGGGCTGCAATGGTGCAAAAATGTGGTTAAAAAGCATGGATCCACATGGATCCTCAGGATCTTTGCATTGGGCCACCCCAAATTCACCATCAGATCACATAGCAGCCTGCCCCCCCAAAATCACACACCCACTGTTGCCTGGGGCTGCAATGGTGCAAAAATGTGGTTAAAAAGTATGGATCCACATGGATCCTCAGGATCTTTGCATTGAGCTACCCCAAATTCACCATCAGATCACATGTCTGTGGCCACAGCATGAAGCACAAAAATGATACATCCACTGTTTCATTCAGAATTTTTTCCTTGTTTTCCTCCTCTAAAAACGATGTGCGTGTTATGGTCAGGTGCGTGTTATAGAACGAAAAATACGGCAAGTCAACAATTTAGTTGGAAATGGAACACAATCCATACCCACTTGCTGTTGCTGGTTGAGGGAGACTTAAGATGGTATGTAGGTGCCCACTGGTGAGGCTGTGTTCCAGTGGGTGGAAAGCTACTACTATTGGTAGCAAGCAGAAAGCCCTGAATTGTAGCATTTCAGAGGCAGGATGCTGGCAGCTTTGACTGATCTGGATCCCAAGCTCCATGGATCTACCAAGGGGCTGAGTCCTCAGGCCCCTCGGCTGTACCAGCATAGCAAAATCGTAGGGAGAGCCACCTGCACCCTCCATCCTGTCTGGAGCGAGCCAGCAGGGTTTGGGATGTAGCAGTGGATCTGCCACTCCATACCTCCATGGTGTCAAGTGAGAATTGTATACAGCCTATCTCTCTTCCAAATTAAAAATGTGCACAAAGAATTATTGTATCCCAGAATGTACTACTGCTGGGTGCTGAGATTTTAAAATTCATTTATTTTATACTCTTATTTTTCTGCATGATATGAAATGCCTGTCAAATTATTCTACTTTTTCCCCTCTTGTGGCTCACTGCATGTGGTTCTGGCAGGTGTGGGAGCTAGATTGAGATTCTTGATATGCTCTGTTAGTACAGAGTGCAGCTTTAAAAGCAGCGTGAATGCACATTTGAACAAGTGATGGAATGCAGATTTTGGAATATGGGATATATTTTAGCAAAGATGGGCAAACTAAGTGAAACTTTTTCAATTCAATGTCTTTATCTGCAAATATCAAAAGAAGATAAAAGAAGCTGATATGCAGCTGAATGCAATAGATTCTTCAAAATACATTTTTCTTAGATATTTTTGTTGATTGAATTTAAAATGTTCTGAGATGATTGGGGGATTGATAATGCTCAACTCAACAGATAGCTGAATGTTGGGCACTCCTGAATCTTCTCCATATCAGATTGAAATCCAGGCTAGAGAAGATTTCTAGGCCATTTGAGCCATTTTGTTTCTTTGTTGGTTTGGTAGAGGGCTGCTTTGAAGATCTGCCCTCACTCAGCTAAACTTCACCTGGGGTGTAAAAGCATCAGAGGGTACCTTTGGTGTAAGACAGTCCCCTGTGGAGGTGGTCCTTTGGCTCTCAACCCTCAGTTTCCTTGGCAGCAGATATTTAAAAGAGCCCAGTAGCAAAGAAATGGATAAAGACCTGGGTGTGTGCATGTGTGTGCTTTGCAGGACTGCTTTTGAGAAATCAGGTGTGGGTGGGCATAAAACCCACCATTACAGGAAACATATATTGTAAGAGTGGGTGGCCTTTTTCATCTCCCATTTTCTTGTGCACAGATCTAAAGAGTAGCCCATTAGCAGACAAATGGGTTTCTTTTTAGAGCCTCAGATTGGGTGACAAAATGAACCGAGTTATTTCCAATTACTTTGGGGAAAAGGAGTTCATTTCCAAGTCTATACAAGGGGAGCAGGGGTCAGTTCTCTCATCTAGGCATTATACAAACTGCAGTGCAAAAAGGTAAGGGATAGACATACATTTCTTGCTAATATTCCACAGTCCCTTCCTGTCATCTTTTAGAATTGATACATATTATTTTTATAGGCAATAACCTATATATTACACTTAGGGCAGCAGAATTTGCTGTGGAAGCAAAGAAAATATGAGCTCAGTATATTAAAGATCACAGTGTGATTTGTGCTTTTGTTAATCTTACTTGATATCCAGTATTTTTAATATAAGGAACATTTTGAGGTTTAATATAAATGAGTGGTTTTATTTGTTTTTATTCTGTTTAGGAGTATTGGAGTTATTGTTGTAATATTTGCTTTGTATATCCTGGATGTTTTACTGCCTATATATTTTTTTCAGATTGCCATGGCTATAAGCAACAAAGCTTGTATTTATCAAATATAACAATATTTTCTAAGATGAAAGTCTTAAATATCCCAGTTAAATCACCTCTGTGAGGTGGCTGTTCAAGTGGCAAAACTAGAATGTCTATAAATCACAGTAGTTGTGTCAAATGTCTCAGGATTAGCAATCCTTTTAATTCAACCAACATGTTTCAATATTGTAGTCAAACTTTCTAGCTACCAAGTCTTGCAGCATATGATTATTTTAATAAACAAGATAAAAAAGGGAAGCAGGAAGGTGTTTTGTCTCTCAAAACAGATGGATGCCAACCAGGAAGGTGTTTGGTTTATTGCGTGCATTTTATTTAAAGTTGGAATGCCAAATGTTGGTTCAACATCTGTGAAATATGTGTGAGCAAAGCAGCTCACACATACGTAAACAAGGTTAAAGTAAGTTATCATACAGAAGATTGGTTTTTATATGCTATAGGTATTTGTTGGTTCATTAGTTATATGCTAAGCGTGTTCTCTCTGGTGGAAAAAAGAAAGTAACATGGTTACTATCAGTGTTATGCTTAGGTTTTGATTATTATTGTTTAAACAGTAAGGTTGAAACAATTACTTTAGGGGGTTTTTTATTCTAAATGTGTTTTTGAATCTTTGTTACCTTTTCAAAGCAAACATGTTCACTGCAGCAGTTTTTATTCACTAGCTTTAACTTATATTTGCAAGCAAATGACTTTTAGCATTCTATAGTGTGCCCACAAAGCAGATTTGAATTTGACTGCCCTTTCCACTTTAAAAGGATGAGATGTCTGCATATTTATTTTTTGGCAGGCTGGGAGAGGCAATCTAAAGGAAGTATAGAAAAGTGAGATGGAAATGCTGGTGCAAATATTAGTTTTTACTGGGCTGCTCAAAATCACTAGTAGGTTGCAAACTAGGATGGCATTTACCCTGGCTCTTGAGTTACCTGAAAAGCAGAACACTTTTTAATATTTTAAAATATTTCTATCCTCTTTGAATTTGAAAAGTTTGAAAAGTTTCTAAGTAGCTAAGAAACACACAGTTGAAACCAGTGTCAATTCAAAGCAATATCAAAACATAGACAATCACAACAATAACCAGCAGCATTAGTAAAACTCCCTACCCTGAGCACAGAATAATAAACCAAAATCGGTCAGCAAATCACTTAACAGTAAATATTCTGACACAAGTGAGGTATAAAACACCAGCCACCTACCTCCGAAAGCCTCTCAGAATCACAAGTGGAATTCACCCAGTGGAAACAGCCACTCAGGGCTGGGTCTCAGATGCTGAACAGAGTATGTGGGAGGCCACATTTGCACGAAGATGGTCCTTAAGGTGCCTAGGTCCCAGGCTGTAGGGCTTTGAAAGGTAAGAGCTAGCAATTTAAATTGGGCCCGAAGATGAACATAGTCAATATTCTATCGTAGTCATTGCTAACCTGTTTGTCTGCAAGTGTTCTAGTCCACCAGCTATGGCAGTGACACTTTGGACAAGTGAATATTTTGACTTTTTTGGGGTCTTGGCAAGGTGACCCCTTGTAGAGTACAGTATTGGGGCTCTTCTGGCTGGGTACATCTGTAACCTCTGTACCTGCCTCTTGGCAGCCCCAATGTCATTTACAGTATATGGTGCTGTATAGATAGTGGTGATTGTCACATTCATGGGCTATTTTGCTGAACCTCTAGAAAACCGTTAAAGGGGGCAAGAGTCCTCAGAACAAAGAGAAACGTTTCCGAGAGATCCGTGCCGATACTCCTGGTCCTGGAACATATTGCCAGCCTCCTTCAATGGGTCTAGACACCAATAGGATAAAGAAACCATCAAAAATCTCTGCAGCACAGGTAAGGTAAAGGTAAAGGTACCCCTGCCCGAACGGGCCAGTCTTGACAGACTCTGGGGTTGTGCGCCCATCTCACTCAAGAGGCCGGGGGCCAGCGCTGTCCGGAGACACTTCCGGGTCACATGGCCAGCGTGACAAGCTGCATCTGGCAAACCAGCGCAGCACACGGAAACACCGTTTACCTTCCCGCTAGTAAGCGGTCCCTATTTATCTACTTGCACCCGGGGGTGCTTTCGAACTGCTAGGTTGGCAGGCGCTGGGACCGAGCAATGGGAGCGCACCCCGCCGCGGGGATTCGAACCGCCGACCTTTCGATCGGCAAGCCCTAGGCGCTGAGGCTTTTACCCACAGCGCCACATAAAAAGGGATATATTGTAATTTTGTTGTTTATATGAACTGCCAGGGCTGATTACTTTTTTCCTATGTGAAGAAGAAGAAATGCCCATGTACACTGAGAAATTTACAGCGATGTCTCTTCTGCTGTAGTTGAAAGCCTGTGTAGTATCCTTCTATTGCCCTTATATCTAGCTCTGCTACTTGCAGAGGGCTTCAGTGCCAGGCATCAAATATCCACATGATGCTACTTTATTGATTAGGTAGAACAGCAGGATTCTTTCCTAGTGAGGCAGAGCAGAGCAGAAAGATTTTATTCTTTCTTGCCAAAACTCCTGAGAATATTACGGAACCCGGAATGATTTCCACCAGTTTCTTCTGGTCCAGCAAGCGGAAGGTTATAAAAGCACTCCCCTCCTTGGACCCAAGGTCTTTGGGTGTGGGTGTGCACCCAAAGGTTTCTGATTCAGTGTGTGCATTTATTACACTCCCCTTCTTTAGAGGGCTCCCTTCATTTGTTAGAAAGAAGTTGGTCTTGGGTCTGCTTTTGAAATATTTCTATTTTTGGTGGAAGCTGCGATTTTTGAGTAGATTTCAGGGTGTTGGTGAATTTGGAACTCTGCTCCATTTCTGCTGAAAGATGAGTAACCTTCTGTACCGCAACCTTGCCACAACAGCGGTACTGTATATGTCAAGGATTGCTACCGTTGTTATTTCAATCGAGTACAGGAGGCTTGTTCAGAATATACATACAGTGTTGCTTCACACAATGCAGCCAAACATAATTCAGCTAGGCAGAAAATTTGCCATTCGTGTTGTATATGTTTTCTTTTCTTGGGCTCAAGTCTCTTTATTCTTTACACAGCTGATGTCAAGATACAGGAGATGTCAGGCTGGATGACATCTCATTTAAATTAAAAGCATGTAAATCTTATACTGCACACAAGAAACATGTCATTTTGTAAAGAATTCCCTTTAGATTCATGTTCCGTGCCAAATCTGTTAACTATGTATTTGGGTTTGGTGTCTGCATCATCAGTGTGTTTAACTTCAGGACTCTCTCCGGTTTTCTCTTGGAAGTCAGCCCGTGTAATCAAAAATATAACATTGCTCCCACTAGAAGCAAGTACAGGTAACTTGCATCTTATGCATATTATACTTGTGCAATTGCAGGTTTTCATGGGTGGGAGGGAAATAAATTATAGAATGGGAAAAAAATCACTGTTCCTTCTTTCCATTTGTTTATTCTCCCCCGCCTACCTGCGCACAGCTGCAATCACGGGCTTACTAGGCTTTGGGAAGGCAGTGCGAGGGTTCTGGCAGGGTACAAAAATAGTTAAGAAAGAAGCCATGGGGCACCCTGCCCTCCACCCCTAGTCTGGTGAAGATTGAGTAGCTTAATGGGTACTGACTACCTGGAGAAAAATGGAACACTGGGAGCAGTTTGTCTGGTATCCTGAACAGAAGCCCTCCCCATTACAACTTTTTGTTGCAGGCCCCACTTCTTTTGTTTTGTTTTGTTTGCTTACTTGTTTTTGTTGTTGTTGTTTAGTCGTTTAGTCGTGTCCGACTCTTCGTGATCCCATGGACCAGAGCACACCAGGCACTCCTGTCTTCCACTGCCTCCCGCAGTTTGGTCAAACTCATGCTGGTAGCTTCGAGAACACTGTCCAACCATCTCGTTCCCTGTCATCCCCTTCTCCTTGTGCCCTCAATCTTTCCCAACATCAGGGTCTTTTCCAGGGAGTCTTCTCTTCTCATGAGGTGGCCAAAGTATTGGAGCCTCAGCTTCAGGAGCTGTCCTTTCAGTGAGCACTCACTTACTTGTAAATCCTAAAATATGCTAAGCCACGCCCCCAGTCTTGGCTGGCTGGGGGGCGTGATGCGGCTGGGACTCCCTGATGATGCAGGGGCTTAGCTATGCCCCCACCATGCACGGGGAGGCCACGTGGCCAGCCTGCAACACTGCCCCATGAGAAAGTGGAGCAGCCTTACTTTAGTCAAGTGTGCAGAGTCAATAGCTCATAGATTTTCTTAAGCATGTCTGTTGAGAAGTGGAAAGGATACTCATTTTTAAGGTAAAATCCACTGGACATGAACTGGACAACTTTAATTGTGTTAAGCTGTTAGAAAGATGTACTATATCTGTGACAAGGTATATTGCATTTGTTCCCACAGAAACTTGCAGAATGCATCAAAGTCTTCCGGAAATCAGAGGCTCCCTCTATCCCTTCCCAAGGACAATCATTTGGTTATGAAGAGGCTGCTGATGGCACTCTTTTAAAACATAATCCTCCTTCAAGAGACACTACTTTAGGTCCAGCATACTATCAGACAAAAGGTGTAAGTAATTATAAAATTTTGCATTATGGGTGTCATGACTTGGACCTCAAGTAGCACTCCAGACACAGAAAGGAACCAGCCAGGTGCTGTAAGTCAACATCAGTGTTAGAGGCAGTGAACTCAAGTGAACCTCAACCTGACAGCTGGGATCACCTGGAACTCAAGGCTCGTTAAGTGTGATTTGTATCTCCATAATTTCAGGGTCATTGACATCAGGTAAAGTTGAACTAAGGGCTTTCTAGGTTTGGGATGAAACTGGTGCCTACTGTGTCTCTGCATCAGTGTGACTGGTTTTTAGATTTAGTGGGTGTGTCCCTGTATAAATTAACCTTTTTGTCGCCTCTCATAGACAGGTCGTAAAATTCATTTTTTTGTTCTGCCGCTACCTATTTTTGTTTCATTTCCTGACTCTCCCTACTCCTCTGATTCTTTGGCCTTCTTAGCCCTGCTTATATTTCTGTCTTTGTGGCTGTGGCACAGCAGTAAAACATATGCTTTGCATGCAGAATTTTCGTACTTTGGTTCTTGCTATCTCCAGCTGAAGAAGAATCAGGTAGCAGGATACCCAAAATGCTTGAGATCTTGGAGACAAGGGTGCCGGCCTGGGGGAGCATAAAAATCACGCCTCTCCACTCGGGTTCATGTGGTTAGGAGCCTGTCCGCCTGTCCGCGTGCTCCCCTGTTCACTCCTCTGGTGGTCAGGTGAGGCATGCAGGCTGCTCTGGGTGCCTTGGCAGAGGAATCCGGTTGCTGGTGTGGGCTGTCATAGCAGGGCGCCCCTCCCCAGTTGTCATTGTTGGCAAAGGAGAGAGCGGGGCAAGAGTTGAAGGAGGAAAAAGGAACGAAGGAGGCAAAAGGAGTGAGGGAGGAGGAAGGCAGATAGGACTGATGGAGAGAAGGAGCAGAGCAGACTTGACCCTGATGGCCATGGAGGAAGTCATTGGCTTGGCTTTAAAGGCGACAAAAAGCTATTTTTTTCACCATGGTCTCTCCTGGTTTCAGAGGAGACTGATACATCTCATTGCCAAGAGTGCAAGGGACCGGAGGGTAGGTACCAATACATCTCCTTACCTAGGGTGCAAAGGAGCATAGGTACACATCTGCCCGGAGAATCTCTTCCAGTCAAAATATATTGGGCTGGATAGATACAATACAGCCCCTTCTTCTTCTTCTTCTTCTTCTTCGTCTTCGTCTTCGTCTTCGCTTTTCATGGCATTCATGCTTGGATTTAACCAAAATTTCTAAAACCATAATAAGCAACCATTGTCGTCTTAAAGTTTAGTTGTAAATTACTTATTTTCAGCTAAAAAAGCAACATGCTATGTGGAAAACCATAATGTTGCAGTTGCTAATTATAGCTATTTTACAAAATGCTTGCAGATACTTCACTGTATTATAAAGCAGCAATTTCTTCTTTCAATAAGATTGAATAGAATAACATTTCTAGAATAGTGTTTTGTTCAGATATGTTCCCAGGGTGTATTTTCTAAACCTACAATTGATGTTCGTTGAAAGCACACATGTTGCTTGTTAGAAGCTGTATGGAAGTTCTGAGGTATGCAAGCAATCCTTGTAATTTTAAGCACACCTCATCTTTAGTGACAGAACAATGATTTAGAGTTTGCAATTGACTAAAATATGGAATCACTACAAGAATGCTTGGAATTCTCCATTTGTTCCTTATAATATGCTTTTTCAGTCAGTGCATTAGGTGGCAGCAGAGTCACTAAAATGAACTACTTGTCTTTGGCATCATAAAACATGGAGTGAATTTTACTTTACTCAAGTTGAGTTACTATGTTAGATGAAGAGAATGAAAAATCAAATCTTTAACCTTTTTGAAAGATTAAGAATTCTCTATTGAAAAAGTCATATATGATTCAGTAGATGCATCCATGATTTCTTTGATTTCTTTTCTTTGAATTATGTACAATATAATTTGGCTCCAAATATTATTATTTAGCTAAATAGTTGAAATCTTGATATCCAGTCAAAAAAACGATCTACTAGTTGGTTAACAATGATCTATTTCCAGATGCATACTTAAACAACAAAACACAATATACAAAACAATAAGCCAGTTATTTAACTACTTCAACAACATGAGCCAAAACAAAATCAGAAACTCAAAAGGCTAGCCAGAAAGGAGAACCTCTCAAATCATGGAACCTTGAAACTTTTATTTTTTCAAGGAGGGGGGATGAGCAATCTTTGTTATCTTGTGCAAACAAAGTAGCACTGTGACTGAAGTACACTGTAACAATAAAACTGAAATGCTGAAAATAATATTCCAATGGTACTCCTATACTCAGATGTAAGTGCCATTGTTTTCCTTGAGTCATACTCCCAGATAAGTTGTGTGTCACAGAGAACAGGGGTAGGCAATTTACACAATTTATTGGAGTTAGTGGTATCAGTTACAAAGACATGGACAAATGTAACATTGGTAATCATGAGTAAGAGATTGGGAGCCAGTGTGTATTTACTGTATTTTTCGCTCTATAAGACGCACCAGACCACAAGACGCACCTAGTTTTTGGAGGAGGAAAACAAGAAAGAAAAAAATTCTGACTCTCAGAAGCCAGAACAGCAAGAGGGATCGCTGCGCAGTGAAAGCAGCAATCCCTCTTGCTGTTCTGGCTTCTGGGATAGCTGCGCAGCCTGCATTCACTCCATAAGACACAAACACATTTCCCCTTACTTTTTAGGAGGGGAAAAGTGAGTCTTATAGAGCAAAAAATGCGGTATATATTTATTTTCCCCAGCTCTTCAGTACTCCAGGACAAATGTTATCAATCTTTGACGATGGTTAATCATTGCATCATCACTGATATTAAATAGGTTCTTAACCTGATTTCAAATCCTAGTTAATTAGGGAGCCTGGATAGAAAACATACAGATGTAACTCTAGACTGCTTAGAAGACGGGGGAGAATTTTCATTGGAGGACTAGTGGGAGGAATGTTTCATTTCTTTTACCACTTCCATTCTCCCATAAGGACATAAGGAAAGTCTGCTGGATGAGGCTCATGACCCATCTATTCCAGCATTGTGTTCTTACAGTGGCCAACCAGCTTCCTGTGAGAAACCCACAAACAGCCCCCAATCTCAGGAGGACTCTACTCCTGCAGTTTCCAGCAAGTGATGTTCAGAAGCTCACTACCTTTGACCATGGAGAGCAGAACTATTGCTAGTAGCCTTTACGCCCATGAATTTGCCTAATTCTCTTCTAAACCAGCTTGAGTTGGTGTCCAACTTGATCATTTGGTTGCTTGATCATTTTGGTTGCCCTTTCCTGAAGAATTGCTTGCTGTTGGTCTTTGTGTTTTTAGCAACGTTCTCCTTAAATTCTTCATTCAAGTTCTTCAGGGCCTTATATGCTAATAGCAAGAACCGGAAGACCTTTAAGAAGCCTTCTGGCAAGAGCAAACGTTAACTTTCTCTTTTCTGGCAGCTCTCTGGGTGGGAAGGAGAGGTTTGAGATGGGGATGGCAAGCAACAAGGGAGAAAAAAGTTGGCAGAGAAAAGGTCTACACTACCAACTTTTGGCTCCAGCCTCACCCACTTCCAGCTTTCGGCCCCTGACAATTACCTCTGAGGGGAATGTAGCCCTCAGCAGAAAGTCTAGAACCCGTAAGTGTAATCTCATCTGGAGCACAGAATTGACTTCAGAGGGTGGACAATTGTTTCAAGAGGGAATAAAAGAGTGGGATAAACAAGACACCAAAATAGTGAGGTTTGCATTAAAGCTACCAGCGTATACTTATAGAAAGATCATTGGAAACCTGCAGCTGTTATAAATAGTAGCAAATGTTGATTAAAACAGAAATGTGCAATGTCTGTTTTGGGAAAGCATATTTCTTTCAGGCACAATGTCTGTGTGCGGAGATTTGATGGTGATTATACAAAGTGTCTAGCGGCTGTTTTGCAAAATGCAAAACATTTAATAACTAAGCAAGGTTCCTACCCAAGCATTCTGAGATGTGACAAATAGTTGTTTCCACTTGAGGCAGCGTGGGACGTAATCCCAAATCTGTGTTTTCCACGTTCCTCTTTCTGGCTAAGAGCGCTGACACTGATGGATTAGGTAGTGGTGAGAACATGCTGGGAACTACCTGTGTGCTGCAGCACTGAAAGACAGTCCATTAGTGCCAGAATTAATGCACTCTGGGACTTTTAATTCTTCATGATATCTATTTCCATATTTAATTACGGGAAAGTCATAGAAAAAAAGTTTCAAAGCACCTCCATCCATTTTTATTGTCAACAGGAGTGGCGATTAGTAATTCTTCAAGTTATATTGCAATGTTCACTTAAAATAATGCACCTCCTTGCTGAGTTTGCTTCAATTAAACCATATTTTATTTGCTAATGACATAGCAAGTTGACAGCGACCTTGAAGTTGGTATTGTCAACACTTCTTGGCAAAAAGAGCGTGGTGATTTAGAGTTAAGAGTGCATCAATTTATTCTTCAGTCTGCCTGTGTTCTTAAAAGGTTTTTTAATTCCATTATGCATGGGGTATTTTACCTGAGTAATGTACAGGTTAGTGTGTTAAGTAGCAGTCAATTTATATTATTTTTAATGCAGAGCTTAAGCTGTATATGAAGAAGGAAATAATGTTATTCATGCTTATTGAGTTTGAAAAAGAATAGGCAGTAGTTGTTAAAATTGCCTTTGGAGCTGACTCACTAAAGTGTTCTTTGTAAATGTCAAATATATATTGACCTTAAAGTTTCTTCACGGACACTTACAAACATTTAGCTATGGAATTAGAGTTCTGTATTGAAACAATTATTCTCCTGCTATTATGTGAAACTCTAACAAGAAAAGCAAAATATTTTTAAAAGCTATCCTTAGTTTGCAGATATCCAGCTGTTGTGGTTAATTATTAGTTTTTGTGAAGCTAGGAAATTATTATTCACCAACAAAAAAAAATCAAATTATAAATATTTATGGACTTTTAAATCCTTGATACTATGTGTTTTAATGTACACTCATGGAACAGGGCATATGTTAAGAAGTTTAATATTTCCAATAAAACTAGTGCATAATAAAACACTCTTCCCATAATTAGGGCTTCAGAGGATCTTGGGAGAAAAGATGGCAGAAGTATGCATATGGGAATGAAAATGGCAGGAGCTAAATAGAACTAATGTCTGCATTTCAGTCTGCATTTCAATGTGTCAGTTTGTGGGCTTATCAGAGAAGTCATTTGTGTTTCTTCATTTCATTGAAGAACGTTAAGTGCAATATGTGATATAGAGACTTACTACTCCATTATGAAGCAAACAATACTGGAAAGTATTAGCCAGTACTAAACACTCTGGATACCAATATTAAACACTCTAATGAACATGGTATGTGTTACATCTAGGCAGATCTGTTTTGTCCCATTTGAAGATAATATTGTAGAGAGATGGGTGAGGTAGAGTTGGATCGGTTTGTATATATAGAGGGAGAGAGAACCGTCAGGTTCCAGAGCAGGTGAATATACTTTTAAAATTCAATACTAAAAACAGTTAAAATAAGTTACAGTCACAAGAATAAGGTGGGCCCTGAAAACACGTATCTCAGGTGTCAAGGACTAGAGTAAAAAGGTACATCTTCATACAGTAGAAACTGTATAATGGGTGCATGGCCAAATGGAAACCAAAATGGCTGCTTAGAACAAATTTTGCTACAGTCTGCTTGATAAGTGCAGCATTTATTAAAACATCCTACACTTTCTGTCCAAGGAGATGTCAGCAGCAGAATTTTGCTCCAAACAGGGAAGCTTAGCTCAGTTCTTTGTGTCAAAAGAGAAACAAGTGGAGAAGGAGACAAAATGGGCTCCATCCCTTCTAAAACAGCAAAAAATGCAACTGAAAAAGAAAAGAACCTGGATGCCGTACTTGGGAAGGAGTTTGAAGCAAAACACAGCTCCTTAAAAACCATGATTGTGGAAACCTGGGAGGAATTAATGGCTCCTCTGGAAGCCATTATTGGAAGCCATTATTATTGGAACGCAAACTAGCACACTGACATTGTTTATGCACCAAATAGTGGTCTGTTCACTTTTTTTGCAAAAAAACTCTGGCCAAACTGGCAACCCCCCCCCCAAAACCCCCTCCTTAAATGATTTACCAATTGGTTATTTTAATAGGAACATAAAAGGACTGATATGTGAGGATCTGGTTGATTCCCTGTGGGGGGAAATGTAGAAGTGCAACAGAACGTAAGAAAGGCAGAGATCAACTGAAACTGGTGAGGTTGCTATGAGAGTGGGGGCTGGGGTGGGAGATGAATCCAGGAGACATGACTCATATGTATGTGTCCCTAGTGTTCAGCTTGTGATCCAGAATAGACTTGCTATTAAACTTCCCCCCTCCCCATTCTTAAATACAGTGAAAAGAACACAAATAGGAGAGATAAAAATAACAGAAAATGCCCCAGTCTCTTCAACATTTGAATTCACTTTAGTTGAGCACACTACTCAAGTATGGTATTTCAGCCGCAACTTTAGGAAACCTTCTCCAAAATATTACAAATCCCAATAGCTAGAAAAGGGTTCAGGTACTTATGCATTCACTTTACCCACAATTTAAACAAATTTTATCAGGCAAGTTGATATAGAAACACTAAATATGGACATAGGACACTGGAACAAAATTAAACCCTTCAGTATTATCTCATTACGCAAAGAGGGAAGCTAACCTCCTGGATTTTAAAAATATTTAAAAGCAATCTTGATTGCTAACTGTGGCAAGTTCTTCATGGTTGCGATTATCCATTTATATACTATGAGAGAAAAAATTTCTGTCCAGAAACCACTGGATGGTGCTCTAATCCCATTACTGTGAAGTACTAGATTCAGTCGTGGTCCTTGAGACTTTATAGTCCTGTTCATAATGATATTATAAGATGCTCCGAATAGAACCCTTCCCTTCTGTTCACAGAGATAACTGACTGTTTACCCTTGTGCTTTTCATTCAGTCAGGTCACATTAGCAAGGGACCTGTGGCCCTCTTAGATGATGTTGGACTCCAGCTTCCATCAACCTCAGCCGGTATGACCAGTAAATGGTCAGGAATGATGGGAGTTGTTGTCTAGTCACATCTAGAGGGCCACAGGTGAATGAAGAATTCATAAGCATTGTCTGCACCAAGAAGTGGCTCTCCAGGGTTTCAGATAGGATACGTTTCCAGATCTACCTGGAGATGCCAGGGATTGAACCTGGCACCTTCTACAGTGGTACCTTGGTTCTCAAATTTAATCCATTCTGGAAGTCCTTCTAAAACCAAGGTGCACTTTCCCATAGAAAGTAATGCAAAATGGTTTAATCTGTTCCAGACTTTTAAAAACAACCCCTAAAACAGCAATTTAACATGAATTTTACTATCTAACGAGATCATTGATCCATAAAATGAAAGTAAAAAACAATGTACACAGGGATGCGGGTGGCGCTGTGGGTTAAACCACAGAGCCTAGGGCTTGCCAATCAGAAGGTCGGCGGTTCGAATCCCTGCGACGGGGTGAGCTCCCGTTGCTCGGTCCCTGCTCCTGCCAACCTAGCAGTTCGAAAGCACGAAGTGCAAGTAGATAAATAGGTACTGTTCTGGTGGTAAACGGCGTTTCCGTGCGCTGCTCTGGTTCGGTAGTAGCGGCATAGTTATGCTGGCCACATGACCCGGAAGCTGTATGCCGGCTCCCTCGGCCAGTAAAGCGAGATGAGCGCCGCAACCCCAGAGTCAGCCATGACTGGACCTATTGGTCAGGGATCCCTTTACCTTTACCTTTACTGCAGTCACACAATCAATAAATCAGTAGCTGAACTGGGTTCCACACAGTCACAAAAACAAAAAAGAGCCGCAAAAACACAAAATAAATAGCAAAAACTGACAGACCTCAGCATAACACTCAAAACAGAAGTGTGGCACTCAAAATGGAGCATGTTTGGCTTCTGAAAAAAGTTCGCAAATCAGAACACTTCAGGGTTTGCAGTTTTTGGGTTCCAAGTTGTTTGAGTACCAAGGCGTTTGAGAACCAAGGTACCACTGTACAGATAAAGCATGTCACTGATCTATGATCCTTCTTTGTAGTGGGAGGGGGGATTTTCTTTTATTTTTATCAGCCCATTTATATTTCAGCCAGGGCATCAGTCATGAATTGTTTTTACATACAGATCAGCTCCTTATGAAGAAGGATGAAAAGTATGTTAATTTATAGGATCTGAATTCATGGATGTCACTTTGTGGATAAAATTATGTACACGAGGTGCAAATTACCTGATATCTTTCTGTAGGCCTGAATTATGCAATATTTGATTTGATCAAAGCCAGCGTGGAACAGTAGTGTTGAACTTGGACTTGGGAGACCTGTGTTCAAATAACTGCTTGGCAGCTATAATATATTGATCACAAGCTAAATGCTGATTAATCTTTTCTTTCAGGATTGTATTTACCCTACCATGAAATATAAAGGAGTGCAATTTGGCAATTTGACAGAAAAGCGGCCTGAATTTAAGCCACGTGAGGGCCCCGGACCTGCAGATTATGACGTGATTCCGTATGTACATCTTAAGACAATTTAGAATCTGGGTCTGTTTGGAAGTCATGCTAAGTGGATGCCCTGATGGGAAAGAATCAGAGTAAGCCTTGAGCTCATGCTGTCCCCCTTCTCTCCTCTAGTGTAGGCATGAGAAGGACACTGGAAACATTTGCTTCCATTTTTCAACTGCAGCTTGTCATTGTGTCTGAACCCTAAACTTTTGTGAATCCTAACTATGGTTTATTTGCAATGAGCTTGATTCATCTCCCATGGTTTGAAGTTGGTGTGAACAAACCATAGCTAATATTGATTACAGTCTTTTGGGTTAGGATGAAATGACAAGTTCACTGTTGTTAAAAATGGAAATTGTGTGAGGGCGAGGCATGTGAAGCTAAGGCTGAAATGCTACAATGTATGTTTGTATTCTAATAATAAAGGGTGTATATTTTCAATAGTAAATGCAAGAAATTAAGAATTAGTTTGTTTTCTCATAACTCCCCCATATGTAGAACCTGGAAGCATGTAGGCAAATCTCCTGAAATAATACCCTGAATTTCCCTGTTCCACAGTTTGTAGCCCGCAAGCTACCTTGAATGTCTTTGCTTTCCTCCCTTTCAGAATTTCATCTGCAACCATTTTATTTATGTGAAGGTTTTTGTAGGCCACCCTTTAGGACATAGTTGTGACAAGGCAGCTTACATCACAAAAAACCTCTCATTGACATAAATTAATTCCCTCCCCTCTCAGTTGGATTGCTGCTCAGGTGGGGGCAGTTTTCAGGAGGTAGATGCTGAAGGAATTGTCCACCACGTAGCAGTTAGGTTTAGGTAAAGTCCCGCTTACATCATTGGAATTTCTTTAATTAAGCCTAATTCTGTGGGGTGTTTTTTTTGGGGGGGGCGGGGTCATATTGTGCAGGAAAGAAAAGAGCAAGAAAGGGATGCAGTTAGAAAGAGAAGGGGAGGAAAGAGATAAAAGCGAAAGAGATGGAATGTATACATGTGTAAGAGATAGAGAGGAAGAGAGGGCGTGGTGTGACTCTTGCTCCTCCCACCACTGGCATGTGACCTGCGACAAGTTTCTTTCCAAGGCCATTTGTCTCTCTGGGATGTGGGTGAAATTTTCCTCATTTAAAGGGATACAGAAGTGAAGGCTACTGAAGCTGCCCTAGAGTCTACTAACTTCCCCCTTGAAGGCACCTCTCTGAGTTTCTTTTCTGTCACCTCAGCTAATTGCCAGCCGGTGAGAAAATGGCCTAGGAGGATGGACAGCAGGAGGAAAATGGTTCAACACCACTTTTCTGAGTGTCCCTTTTGCACTTGAAATGATTCCACCTTGCTGGCACCAGTTTAACGATCAGGGATGCTTAAAGTTGTTGAATTGGGGATGTAGCTGAATACCTTGATGTTAGTGCTAGAGGGTTTCTTACACTAATCCTTGAAAGAATTATGAGCAGCTTAAAACTACTCTGCTTTACCGTTGCTAATTAAATTAATTTTCTTAGTTGTATATGGATTTACATTATTCCCCTATCTGAGCATCTGTTCCAATTTAATCCTTTTCTACCATGCTCTATTAAGAAAAATGGGGGATTGGAATTCTGTACTGCACAATTAGATACTATTCCACGCCAAATTCTGTGGTTATGTAAAGTAACAAGACCTTTGGGCATGCTAGCTGACAATACTAAGAAGCTTTTGAATGTTGAGAAACAAAGGTTTCTCACAAAGTTGTAATACTCAAGCAAGGTTGCGGTTCAAGGTTCACTTGAGGCATTATTTTCCATGTTTAATGGTTATTCAGCTTCCTGGTTGTCTTCTGCCTCCACTGTGTTTTTTTATTGTAGTTCACCTATGGCAAGGAAACTTGAATATGAAAACAGAAATTCATTGGATACGTAGAATAGCACTACATAAACTTTGGCTGTCCTATTAGTGAGCAAACTAGCCTCTCATCTGTTATTGCAAAGAGCAGCTGTTTCTAATATACTCTTGTGGGGAGAGGGTGAAAGCTTTCACTGTGCATATTTAGGTGCCCAGGCACATTTAAGAGATGACTCATAAATCTCTTCAAACTTTCTAAAGGGAAAACGCAGTGCATTATGAAAATGTCAACATCAGAAAGGAAGACCAGAGAAAATATGACCTCTATGTTCCACGGTATCATGAAGTAATAGTATTACAGGAAGAAAAGAAGGTAATGCCAGTTCAACACTGTATTTTGTAGTACTTTAAATGTTATTTATAGTGGGACAGAAATTCTAGGATCTGAAGAACTGCATAAAATAGAAAACATACTTCAGTTCAGGCATGAAAGAAGATTTATCCAAATGGGTGGAGGAAATTATTCGTTAGAGCACCGCTGTATAGAATTTTGCTGAGAACAAATGTGCGACATTTTAAAGAACTGTTTGCAAATTACGACTGCTGAGTGATTGTTACAATATTGCAGTATTGTTTGTTTCTGAGGACAAAATATTGTGTTGGTGCAAGGGATTTTAGAAGTGATCCCATTCTTCCCAGTGGGCTTCACTGAATCATAGAATTGTAGCGTCTGAAGGTACCCCAAGGGTAATCTAATCCAACCCCCCCAGTCCATTTTAGGATTGAACTGTAAGTTAATTCTTTTAAAAATGAGAGTATCTTGATAAGGGGAACTTTTTTTGGTGTGTTGGTGATTGTGTGCTTCAAAGCTCTGTTCAGAGCTTGCAAAGAGTCTTGTGTGCTTCTCTAAAGCAGCTGTATATTTTGCAACAGTCCTGCTTTCTGCAGGCACCAGTTCTGCAGACTTCAGTTCTACCGCCCATCATCTGATGGATATTATAACCAGACTCTGCTTTCTGCAGTCAAACAAGTTCCTCTTGGGGGATTGGGTAGTGGAGCCAATCCTGCAGGATCTCTGCCCCACCTTCAGTAGATATTTGTAGAGCCTAAGCCTGCTGTCTGGATGGGCATGATATTTTAAGTATAGAAAATAGTGCTAAATTTATTGGAGAGCATGAAGAATTCAAACCATGGGCAACTGGAGTATGGTGTAAGAAATAATTTGAGACTGAGAGGAGTTCTTGAGGAGGTGTTATATGCTCTGATTGTCTTGCACCGTTGAAGAAGAAGAGTTTGGATTTGATATCCCGCCTTTCACTCCCTTTAAGGAGTCTCAAAGCGGCTAACGTTCTCCTTTCCCTTCCTCCCCCACAACAAACACCCTGTGAGGTGAGTGGGGCTGAGAGACTTCAAAGAAGTGTGACTGGCCCAAGGTCACCCAGCAGCTGCATGTGGAGGAGCGGAGATGCGAACCCGGTTCCCCAGATTACAAGACTACCGCTCTTAACCACTACACCACGCTGGCTCTCCACTGAATTCTGCACCAGCTGAAGTTTCTGAACTGCCTTCAGAGGCTGCCCCATGTATAATGTGTTGCTGTAATCAAACCTAGAGGTTACCAGGGCATAGACAACAGAAGTTAGGCTGTACCTGTCCAGATGGGGCACATCTGGGCCACCAGCCAAAGCTGATCTTATCTGATCTCTTATTGGAGTAGACACAGTCTGCTGGGGATACTATTTAGAAATGTTTGTCATATATAGTAGAATCAGCATTGCATCAACGATGTTGAGGCATGGTGATTGGTACTTTGCATGCAAATTTTCTAGAGGAAATAGATTGGGAATGATGTCATGATTGGCAAGGGAATGGAACACGCTATGAAGCCAGAACATACTTTTTGATGAAATACTTTACTTTTTGTTGCTATGCTGTGTTGAGCTGCTGGTGACTGGGTGCAGGATACGATTCGTGTACAGTTGAGCCGCAGATTGGTATTGAATATTTCAGAAAGACTTATGTTTTATCAATACTTTTGAAAATTGTATGCTGCATTTAAAAAAATGATGCATTCCATTCAGGAGAGGGTTTCTTGCAAGATTTGGTGGGCTTATTTGTCAGAGTCAGTAATAGGAATATATTTTTCTAAACTCAGAAAGATGACAGGAAAGAGCAAGGGTGTCAGAGTGAAAGAGACGTCGTAATAAGACTGATGATTGTCTGTAGTACTCATCTTAGCTTTTCAAGCTTAACCCTTTTGTTCATCAATCAGTCAAAACTGGCAGGTAGTGACCATTAGGAGGATTCATTAGCACCCTGCAGCATGTTTGTACAGGGTGACCCACATCTGTCTTCATTAGAAGTTTTCTAGTTGCCAGTAGTGAACAGATGGGTCATTATTGCCTACGTTGCCCTTTGGGTGTACCTGGAGGACAGGCAAAGTCGTCCTAAGCAGGACACACGGTGTTACCTCACAGAGAGCAATCAGCTTATTTTGAATAATATTATTCTAGAAACTGACTTTTGTTGCTCTTTACCTGCTTGTCCTTGGAGCAGGTGAAAAAAGTGCAATCAACGTCTAACATTGTTTTTACAGATTTAATTAACCTCTGGACAACAAATAATCCAGAAATCAGAGGATATGTTTATTTATTTTGCATGTAATAATAATTATTTTTGGTCAGACAGTTGCATTTTACTCAAGTGATGTAAATGTCCTTGATTTTTTTTTTTTAAAAGAAATCTCTATTTTTCCAAACTTCAGGAAATGCATGTTATGCGCCTTAAATGTGAGAACTTACAATTTAATAATAATAATAATAAAAATTCTTTGAAGGAAATTCCATCTTCACTGTGCAGTCCTATATAGGCCTGGTAAGAAGTAAGTGTCATTGTTAACTGGGCTTTCTCCCAGGAAGATTTGTACAGGATTGCAACCTTAATGTTTTATTTTTCATCAAAGTTTGGAATGTGGACTATTTCCTATTATTCGTGGTCTGGTATAAAAATGTCTTAAAATATATATTCAAAGCTTCTCAGAATTTTTGAATATTGTTTAAAATATGCTAATATTTATTTTATTATGTGGACGTTCTGCTTCTTTTGCTGTGGTTCTTGCTGTTTGAAAGGAAAGTCGTATTTTAGGCTGTAATTTAAAAGCTTTGTTCTGATCAACTGTAACAAATGAAGCCAGTTCAGTATAGAAGTTTAGAGTGTTAGACTAAAACCTGGGAGACCAGGGTTCAAATCGCCATTCAAGCCATGAAATTCACTGATCCTGGACCATCTTGCCAGACCACCTTCAGCATATAAGAAGAAAGATAGGATATAAATATAACTTAATTTTTAAAAATAATAAAATCTCCCCACATGCTCCATAAAGGCACAGAAATATAAATAACTAGCATAGCACTTTTCACTTACCTAGTGGCTACATGGTGCTAGTTATCACTACTGCTTTTGAAATTTCCAAACGAGAAAAAAACAGCTTTTTTTTAAAAAAAGCTTGTTTTGCCATCTAGTGTAGCTGTACAGCTGTGTGGAGGAATTGGTTTTCTAAATGTACCTGTTGAAGTTACGGCTGACATTTAGAGCTACTGCTGGCATTTGCAACTTTTATACCGAATGCCATCTTGTGTTATATTGTCAGCCAGGAACATGAGGATTGAGTAGTTTGAAATGGCAATATAAGAGAAAACATATAAGCTCTGAATACCCGTAACTGGTTATAATGTCAAAATCACCCATGACTAGGCTGCATTTATCTCCATCGTTACTCTTCTATCTTTCTTTGGAATTCGGCTTTTTAAAAACAAACAAGTATATCTTAATATTTTACACTTCTATGAGCATTATTATGACTAACAGAAAATTATGTTACCGAGTCTATAATTAAAAATAGCTTTGAAGAAAGTATATACCCTTTTTGGGAGGAGAATGTCTACCTTCTGCAGAAACAAAACAATGGGGCCTCCTGCTGCCGCTGCGCCGCTGGAGCCCAATTTATGTTCTTATTCTGAAGCAAAGTTCTTAACCTGAAGCACTATTTCTGGGTTAGCGGAGTGTGTAACCTGAAGCATATGTAACCTGAAGCGTATGTAACCCGAGGTACCACTGTAGAAGTATCTCCTCAGGATTGAACCTTCAGTTCCCCATCATGTTCTAATGAAAATTATTATTGAGGAAGCTGTTATTTTAATAATAATAAAAAATCAGATAAGTAAATCCATGTGTACATTTAACCTATCTTCTAGGCCCTCGGAGAAATCTGTGCTGACAAAATGAGAGGACACATGGTAGCAAGGAGATGGTTACCATTTTCATTTGTGCCATTGAAATCAGGGGACATACTCCTCCCATGTTCTGAAATGTTATAACCACAACTTACACTTTGTTGCTTTTTAAATAACCTTGTTCATCGCATAGATTTTGTGAGATACAGGCGATAAAAGATGGCAATCTCTTCCGTATTTTGTTAAAGGGTGACCATGTCCTAGAGCTCCTACATTCTAAATGTCTGGCAAGAAGGTAAATATCTCTTGGTATCTGAATGGGTTTAATCCGTTTAATAAAGAATACAATTACCATGATTGTCAGAAATAATACACTCCGGAATGAATAAAGCACTCACTTGTAAAGTTGCAGATACAGCAAATTAATAGGACAATAAAAGTACATGTTTAATATTTCACATGGAGGTGATTTATTTAACAATCACTGGTACTTGGCACATAAAGTGTAGCATTAATTGTTTGTCTTGTATTAGGTGGAGTACTTGGTTTTTATTACTGTCTTCTACTGTTATTTCTGTGATTTAAAATATATTTCATTTCTGTAATGATAAAGGAAACCAGCAAATGCACTTTGCTTTCACTTTGCAGAAAGTATCAACACATACTGACTCCTCTTTAGAAAGTAGACAAAAATAAAGGATGCTTGTTTTTTGTTCTTGCTTGAGTCAGCTGGCTTCTGTGACAGCTCGGAACCAAAACATGAGCACCCCAATTTTGATCAACAGGATGTTGGAGGATATGGCATTGAATTAGATTCTTGGTCCATATAGCCTAGCACTGTCAATTCTAAGTGTTTCCCAAGACCTCAGAGCCTTCTCAGCGTTGCTACTTGTAGATAGCTTCAACTGCAGATGCCAAGGTTTGAATCTGGGTTTCTTTTGTGCTGTACCACTGAGCTTTGGCCTCTCCCATTATTTCAGGAGTGGGGTATCTTTGGCCCACAGGTCAAACTTTGCCCACCAGGCCATTTTGGGGAAGCCACACCAACCTGCCCTAAACCTGACATCATACATGTGTGGCTTTGTAGACTGGCACAGCTGACATGTGGGGAAACTGGAGCTGGAGGGGTGGTGGAGCTTGG